AAAAAATGACAGCAATCTACTAAAAACATTCACTCTACTGAGAAATATGGGAAAGAATAGTTTTTAAAGATTTATAATAGTATATATATTTATTATATTTGTAAATTTTACATATGTTGAAATTTAAAGAAGTATAATAAAATACAATTTTTGTATTCTTTGATAATAAAATTTTGCTGCTCTAGAAAATATTTTTTCAACAAGACAACCACACCCCCTGTCAATTTTGTCCCACTTCACCAATGGTAAAATCTGGTCACCTTATCCTACAAACAATTCAGGGGGACTATTCTGAGCTCTTCTAATAACTCAATGAAAGCAATATGCAAGGCATTCAATAAGTCTTCTTAGCAAATAGCAGTTAACAAACCTTAGACTACTGATTCCCAAATTTTTTGAGCCACTGTCCTTTGATTGCATAAACTTATACCCAACTGTACCCCAATGCCCCCTAACCCAGATTATCTAGTATAAGGAAGACTTGGAAATATTGGTTGAAAAACTTTTCTATGAACTTCACACTTCTTGTCCTTACCGTACACTGTTCTCCACATTTGGAAACCATTAAATGCAATGTTTCTTCTTATCAGTTTAACAGAAGAAAGGGAAAGGATGTCAGTGACCCCAACCTTTGCCTATGGTCACAGTTTAGTAATCTGCCTCCAGTACCCCCTGCCACTCATTTGCTTCTTTTCTCCCTAGATGTACTTACTCACCACACCGGGCTGTATATACTTCAAATAAACAACAATCTACAATTAACCAGTAACCAGCGTGAAATTCTTTAAAAATCGCCGAACGTTTTCGATTCCCCTCCTGGGATCATCTTCAGGCTTATTTTTATACCTTCCATTATAACTGGATTCTTTAATTTGAATGTTTTTAAAAATTTGAAACATGCCATTTTCCATAGCCAATTTTTAAAGAATTTCATGCCGGTTATTGGTTAATTGTAGATCGTTGTTTATTTGAAGTATTTCTCCCTAGATTTACTTACTGTCCACAGGAAGCAGCAGCACCCACTTTGGGAACCACTGCCTTATACAAATCATTATTCTATGCGCCATGTTAAATAGATTTGTTCCAGGTAATTGGTTGAAATGTGTCTGTGTTCCATGCTATCAATGGCTGTTATGCTTTAACCAGTCATAATTTAGTTAACATTCTGTTTTTGTCACGTGACTAAATCTCACTGTTTTCAAAGTAAAGCATATATTTTTAGTGTTGCTGTGTACTAGTATTAGCTGAATTTTCTTGTGTAAAAATGTTATCAAAGAATATATGTAGAACTTTTATACATGATATATTCAATCATTTTAAATTATACATATGTACAGTTACCAAACGTCCTACTTTGGGAGGACATGTCCTACAATTTGACTTTCAGTCCTCTGTCCTACACATTATAGTAAACCTAGTCCTAATTGGTTTCCATTTTTGAAAAATGATTTCATTATTGCTTCAATTCAAAATCTAAATATCAAAAAATAATGTACCATATCAAATTCAGGTCATCAAAAAAATGTTGAGGCTCCAGAGCTAACTGTCTCTGTTATTATCTTCTTTAAATTAAACTTAGTTATAGCAAGTAAACACTGTAAAAGCATTTTATTTTCTTCCAAAACAGAACACCTAACTTTTACTGATACTAATAAATCTTTTTTTTCACTCTGATGTGAATGTAAGATTTGAAAAATACTGTTATTTCAAATAAATACAAATTAATAAACAATTTTAAAAAATAATTTTAACATTTTTTATATTTAAAAAAATTTTTATTGTTCCTTATAACAATTTAATTACAATCAATACACTTCCCAGATATCAAAGACTATGATATTATATTAAATTAATATTGCCAGTTTTATTTTTATTGTAGAAGATAATTTTATCAAACTGTAATCTGACAAAAGTAATGCAATCTTCAGGTACAAAATTCATGTGTTAGATTAACTTTTTCACTGTGATGTTTCTTTCACAGGGGCCATTCATTAATTACATTTAGGCTATAGTTTAACAAGAAAAAAGGGAATTGTGAAAAATATGTTGTACACAATAGGGAGGAAGGGATGGAGGCATTGTCTATGTGTGCATTTTTACTAGTATTAGTGGCAAACAAATTTGTTTTATAAATCTACTTACTAGTTATGTAAATAAATTGTGAGTCAGAAAATATTTGTAGGACTTTTTTAAGTCATTTCTTCAATGTTGGGGGTCCATAAACTAATTGTACACACATAATTAAAGTGGAGGGGGTTTGCCAAAAGTACATCATGTACAGTATAGTACATAAAGGAAAGGGAAAGGGAGAGGTTAAAATTGCCTCAAAAACTATACATATAATTAATAGACTGCTCCACACAACTGAAATCTAAGAAAAAATTAATTCAATGTAATTTACATTTTCAATCCTTAATTTTCTCTTTCATTCAATCCTGCAGATATCCAATTCTCCTTCACATTTACTTACTTATTGATTAACATGGAAGTTTAATCAGTCTTTCATTTTTCTGCTATTGTGTTTTCAGACATGAATTTATTAACAAAGAACAATGCATGCATAATATATTTTTTAAACAACTGATTGATTAATTTATCAACAGCAGGCAAGATTAAGACTTAAACGGTTAAATCTAACCTTAAACAACTGTCACTTAATATAGACTTAACTAATAGTTTAGACTTGCTTCTATCTAATCATGATCTTGTTTTTTACATAGAATAACAGTTAAACTCAAAAGCAAGAATTATTTATCAGAAGAAAATCTAAACTTGTGGTCTACCTTAAAAGGGTTGCGCATCACAAGTGAACTTCATAGACTTCCAGCAGACCTCATGCATCATTTTCTTATGAAGTTGCAGGCTATATACCTGTTGAGTACCAACATACTCCATAGAGCCAGTTTACTAGGTTACTAAAATAATTAGGACTGTGGAGTCGGAGTTTTAGTGTTTTAGCCGGAGTCGAAGTCGTGAAAAATCCGCCAACTCCAACTCCTTTTTACTTCCCAACTTATGTATATACAATGGAAAAGTATTGAAATCATGTCAAATTTGACCCTCCTTGTTTCTTTTGCAAATCTACACGTTTGGAGACCTCCCGAACTCCCCAAAAAAGTCAATAAAAGAGGAAAAATTCGAATGCATGTGTGTGTTGGCGTCTAATTTGTTTAATTTCTTTATTTTCTGTTCTGAGATATTAAACAATATCTCAGAATGGGTAAAGCTTAAGAAACGAAATGTGGCACTGTAGCTTGCATATAAAGGGGCATTAATACTATTAAATTTTGGTTCTTAATTAAAGATCGACAGGGTGAAGACATAAAAGTGGTCATGTGTCATATGTCTTAGTGAATATTTTACTCGTTATTAGCGTTCAAAATTTAAAAAATAAAAAGTAAAACTCGTCTCTACCCTCAAAGTAAGCTTTTTTGTCATTTTATAATAGTACAGTAAAACCCGTTAAGATATTCTCGCCTAAGATGTTAGAATGTGTATGGGGACATGATTTAGTTCAACCACTCTGATGCTTAATAACTAACTCCTGTGTTAAACCATCTGACTCCGATTCTAACCACTCTGACCACAAAATTATTAGGCTTCAAACAGAGTGAACAAAATCATGCCCCCCACACACAGTCTAACATCCACACATATAGAAAAAACCTCGAATCTTTTGCATATCTCGAAATTTCAAGGTGTTCTGAGTCCAAAAATGTAAAAATTTGGGAGGGGTCAAAAAATGACCCCTCCCAAATTTTTCCTCTGTTATATATAACAGAGAAAAAGTAAAAATTATTGAATACATATTTATATATTGACTGTGTAATTACTTAGAGGAGTCTTTTAGCTTTGGAATAAAAAGTTTCTACGTTCTATCCTTATTAGAACTCTATTTATTGAACCTTTTATTCTGAGGTCACATGATGACATCAGAATTTCTGTCTCTCTTTCGGTAACAAGTATGCCCCTGGTCGGAGTCGGATGATAAGGAAAAGTCGGAGTCGGTAGTTTTTTACGCCTCAGGAGGATGTCTCGGGAGTCACACTGAAAATAATACACTTAGGCCTACTAATGATATACAAGCTAGTAATATATAGTTTATTCTCATCTTTCTACTAATCTAGTTTCAAATAAAATTAAGTTACCAAATCCACAGGGGTCGCATATTAGGACCTAGCAGGCGTGAACTGATCATGACTTATCTAAACCATGGTTTAACCATTAAAGCTGTGTAATTAACTACAGTTTCACCTATTATAAGCAGGACCTCTAAATAATGGTCAGTATAATCATTTGTAGGTTAATGTCCAGGGTCGTAGACCATCATGGCGGCTCTTCCTGTTTTAGCCTCGAAACCGGACCGCTTTGGAGACGACGTGTCACGTGACGACGCGAGCGCCTGCGCGACGTTTGACGTGACGACGCAAGCGCCTGCGCGTCACGCCAGAGTCGGCGAATGAGTGCAGACAAAGGTGAGTAAAAAAAAAAACATGTTATTTTGGTTAAAGTCCAGATACGTAGACTGTCATGGCGGCTGATCGCCGATTCCAGCAAAGACAAGAAAGCAAACAGTGGGGACGCACGTTCTAACCTAACCTAACCTAACCTATTCTAATAAATTATCATACTCATTACCAATTATATTATTAGAATAGGTTAGGTTAGGTTAGAACGTGCGTCCCCACAGTTTGCTTTTGTTTACTGGAATTAGCGCCGGCGCTGCCGCGGCGCAGCAGCCGCCGCCGTTCGCTCGCGTCGTCACGTGACACGTCGTCTCCAAAGCGGTCCGGTTTCGAGGCTAAAACAGGAAGAGCCGCCATGATGGTCTACGACCCTGGACATTAACCCATTTGTATAATGTATTCTGTTCCATAACGCTAGCTCTACATTATCTATTCTTTGTACTGTACATTATGATATATAACTAATGCATATTTTGCAGAAAATAAACATGACACGTACAAATTTGTCGTGTAAATATAAATTTATGCGCTTACCTGTCGATATATCCAATTAAAAATTCTATTAGTTAGAATAAGTTTAAAACTCTATCTTTAATTTCAGTTTCTCCGTAACCGTAACCGAAACTAAAACTTCTCTATTATGATTACGACACTTATCACTGAAAGGAAACATTGCACGCTTTTACCACGTGACTTTTCGCTTTAAAAGTCACGTGGTGTTACATTGTATCTGTCCTTTTCCTCCCCTTTATATTGACTATCATTATTTGATATTATTATTCCCATATAATATTATGACTTTTATTAATAATAAAATAAAGCTCTATCTTATACTTTAGTAATTAAATCTTGTAAAAATAAAAACGGATTCCGAAGATACAAATACAACAATACCACCAATGGCGAGACAAAGCTAATAAGCTTTCTTGAAAAAGTTATTTTAATGCTATTCAAATACAGTATTTTTTAATTTGAAAAAGTAAGTTATTAATTAATTTAAATCTCAAAAATAGAAAATTTTAATAATTGAAGTGTCTAGTCTACCGTTGTAATATAAGGTGACCAAAACAGCAATTAATAGTCGAGTCTGCCCTTTGGTCCTCTGCCCTTTAAGCACTAAAAGGGCCTTTTATCCATACTCATTATGGATTTGGCTAAGCCCACAAGATAGCGGGCGAGTGATTAATACGGGTTCTGAACATATATGAAACGAACCACCCCGAAATATCCCTGGGTTTCTCGACATATCCAGATTCGTTTCCAGGCCCCTCAAAGCGGTAGACCTAACACCTTAACAGTTCGTCTGTGCGAGATCGATTATTATCCTTATGATTTATCATGTGAAATTAGAATCGGAGTCTTGTTTCCAATTTTCATCTATGTTAATTCTTTAGGGGATCAGACCCATTAATTCGTAGCTGCCAGTCGGAAATATTTTTATATTGTATTTTTAAGTATGGTGAGAACCGAAAACTCAAAATTATATTCTTAATTAGATATTATATACACATATATATTATATATAACTTAATACAGCTTTGTGTTAGAGTAAGCATACTACCACTTGATACATTCAATCGATACATATAGGTAGGGCCGGATTAAGCCACTTTGGGGCCCTAAACATTTTCTTTTTACCGGGCCCCCTCCCGGCTCATTCAATTAATAAATCTTGTTAATATTTTTTCTATTAAATCGCATACGGACACTGCAGCTACTTAATAAAAAATAAAGCAAAATTATTTAACAATAGAGAGGTTGCGGCCGACGTTTTCAACACGAAAACGTGTACGTCGGACGTTCAGCGCCGCTTTCCTATAAGCCTAGAAGTTTGACAATGGTGTTTGGATAGTCAGTGGAATCATGCTCGACGTCCCAAACACCATTGCCAAACTTCTAGGTCTTTAGGAAAGCGGCACTGAACGTCCGACGTACACGTTTTTGCGTTGAAAACGTCGGCCGCAACCTCTCTATTATNCTTGTAGTTAAATTAACGTTATTCTTATCGCTTTAAAAAAAATTCTAAATTATCGGAAGAATTACTTTCAATAAGAAGAAACATAAGAACACATTTTCTTTAGATTTTAGAATTCATAATAACCATATAAAAAGCAATATATTTTTGTTTATTTGTTTATTATATACAGTTGTCCAACAGAAAAGTAAACTATCTTATTTACAAATCTTTTAAAAATAGAGTTTGACCGGACCCTTCTAAAATTCAGGCCCTAGACATTTGTCTCATTTGTCTATGCGATGATCCGACCCTGAATATAGGCGATTGGTTAAGGTATTTATCTACCACTCTGTGAGACCCGGGATCGAAAAACCATTGTAATTTTTCTGTGAATTAATATAATAACATTTTAAAATAATGTTTTTATATCAAATAACTGAAAAACGCGAGTTGGCGATTGAAAAATCGAAAACGTGAATTCGTCATTACAGGACGAAACCAACAGGATTGTACTCAATCAAGGATAGAGAGTCAAAGTCTGGAGACGAATCTCTTTGTATGATCGGAGTCGGAAAACTTGTCGACTCCCGACACCGTTAACGTTTAAAAATTTTTAAAAGCCATTAATGCCGTTATTTTGACGTTTTAAGGTCAAGTATGTAAAATACGAAACTTGTAATGTGTTTTATTGTATTAACTTTGATAAATAAGATACGAATAGTTAAAGTCAAAGTATGACCTTAAATACCGGTTTGAAATTAAACCTTATAAGATAGATTCCACATTACGGAAAACCTAAAGATTATTTTTAAGTTTCTAAACTTAAATACTATTTGCGATATTTTTACTTTCCCGGCTGTGTTATATATATAATAGAGAGAAAGTAGGTCAATCAGTCAAAAAATGACCCCCCAAGATTTTTTCATTTTCGGACTCGGGAGACCTTTTTTTTTAATACTCTTTCCGCCCTGTGGGCACTAAGAGAGCCTCTTATAGCAAGCCCATTATGGGTTCGGCCAGGCACACAATGGGGCGACCGGGTGGTGAGGGACGGGCCCGACCAGTGGCGTACCGTAGTGGGGGCGGCAGGGTCGGCCCGCCCCGGGCGGCACTTTTTAGGGGGCGGCAAAATTACACAATAAATAATAATAATATCTTGTAAAAATTTGAAACATCCTAATCTATACCTGCATCGCGCCTACGATAGTGCTATCGTCCGGACAGTCCGGGAATCGGCTCGCCGGTGAACTAATAACTTTTTCGTCCGAGGAATTCCTGCGCAACCTGTTGACCTTTTTGTTTTTTTTTGCTTGTATGATTCATTCGCGTTCACATACACCACTAATATCCAATAGAACTATTTTAAACAGGTCGCTGCACTATCACCGAATTTTTCATTGCTTGTTCTGTGACAAAACTAAATTTTGGTCTTTTAAATTGAAATACCTAAATAAGGGGGCCGAAATTTTCCTCCGGCCGGGCGGCTGACACCCACGGTACGCCACTGGGCCCGACATATCCAAATGGACCACCCCCGAAAAATTCCTGGGGATTTCTTGACCCGTCCGGATTCGATCCCGGTGCCGTCAGAGCGATAGGCTGCCACCTTGACCTCGCGGCCATCCGACCTACTCGGGAGACCTTGAAACATCGAAAAATGCAAAAAAATTCAAGGGTGTTTTCTGTATGTATGGGTGGCAAGATTTTGTTCACCCTCTTTGTAGTTTAATAACTCCTGTATTTTTTGTTGAAAATTTCTGAAATTTTGCAGGAACGTTTGGATATTAGGGGATTGGTGCTATTTGTTTGTTTAGTAGCAAGTTGGGCATCAACTTCTCTAACTATTTCGCCCCATGGAATGCGTAAGCTCATTGTCTAGTATTAGCAACGTCTATAGATATACTGGTCCTTGCGCTATGCTCTAAAGCACAGTTGATGTGTCAGGTTGCTGGCGTTTTACATTACATTACATTACATTAAATTGAAAAAGGGGGAAATCCTCCAGGCAACACTTAGAGGTACAACCTGGAGGTGGTAAAGAACGGAAGGAAGGAAGAGACATGGGAAGAGTAGGGGATGAGCGTGGGGCAGGGTAAAGTTGAGATCTACAGGCGCCTGCATCGCATTTATTGAAGATAAACAGAATACAAAATGCAATAAACAGAGGAACAAACAATGCAATGGTGAACAGGTATGTACAAAGGAGCTGCGCGACGATGGTTTTATATACAATATAAGTAAACTGACAGATATTGATAACAGAAAATGGGCGTTGGCAGAACAGGAAAATACACGAGTACATTGAACAGTGGATTGGTCCGCAGACAATGAGACACAGTGACGTAGACACGGGATTGCGGTAGCAAATACTGAGACAACACAAACTGGTACGCGACAAACTGCGAGAGGAAAGGATTTAACTTTTAACCAATCCAATGCAGAAGTAGACAGTTCAAGTGTACAGTGCAGGAGGACGTTGATTAAAAGTCCGAACGTGCAGGATTCTAGCAAAAGTACTGCTGGCGTTTTACAGTCGTTTGTTAAGTTACAGTAACGCAACACTTGGGCAGGGGCGCCGCTAGCTGTTTGAACGCCCGTGTGCAATACCGATTATGCCGCCCCCTGTTTAACTACGACTACCTACGCTGAGCTTGCCAGAAAGGCTCTTTGCCGCCCCCCCTGGACGTGCCGCCCGCGTGCGGTGCACGCCTTGCACGTCCGCTTACGGCGGCCCTGCACTTGGGCAATCTACCTAGGGGGATGCCTTCCTGGAGATCTTTTCAAGGATAACTGGCCCCTATTTAGGCGTTACAGACGTGGAGAAAACCCGGAAAACTCCACGTGCCCAGCCCGTCCGAGCGAGGCGCAAACCCACGACCGAACTCCCGGTGTTCAGGGAAAGGAACTGTTTGGCTACTGGGGAGCCTTGATACTATTAGAGAGGCTGCAGCAGAAGTTCAAACTTTAAACTTGTAAAGCAAGTAGAAGTACACGTTTGACGTTTGGACTCCAAGCGAAACACGTTGCGCCACACGTTCACGTCGTGCAATGACTCATTCAAAAATGACGGAAACGTACAAGAACGACGAATGTTACCAGCGAAGGTAAATAAACGAATTAAACTATTTTAAAATACAGTATTTATAGGATGTTTAATAACACTAAATATTTATTTTTGACTTTAGTTAGCGTCGTATCTCCTACCGTAAGATACAGTAGAACAATTCCAATGCGTTTTTCCTGTTCTCACATATTTTGTTGAGGGAGGTAGTGGCTGTAAATCCGTATGCAGATGAAACTCCGAAAGCTACTTGGAAAAATATATCTAAAAATTTACAAACGTATTACGCTGTGGATGATAGATGCCTTAAAAGCACAAATTTACTCCTACCAGTATTATGATAAGGTATTAACTTTTGGGTAGTAGACGGGCCCAGATATAGAACCTACCCTATGTGCACCGTCATGACTGCACTTCCGGAATCCCAACAAGCATCTTTTGAATTTCAATGTGGGCAGCGCTTTTAATAAATTTGAATAATTTTATTGTCTGCTTTTGCTTTTGGCGCTGTTGGTAATTTTGAATAATTTTCAATAAATTTGAATCAACAATGCAGGATGTCACTACTGATGTTGGAGAATCTAGTTCTATGTACAAAAAGCGTAATAAAATGGAGGATGCGGCGATGGCATCCCTAACTTGAAAATTGAAAATAAAATTGAAAAAACAAAAATCATTATTTATTGATTACATTCTAAGTATTTGTCCAATTTGGGGGGTAAACAATTAAAATAATCTGATGTTGCACTACCATATAAGCAAGTGTGACAGTTTGTAAGTAGTGCACCAACTATATAAAGTTTACCAACAGGCTGAAGAAACAATTTACAATTTTTTTTTAAATCTAGAAAAGGAAATGTTTGAACTATTTTGCCAAATACCCATTCCACACACTCTCTTACTGAACTCATCCTTGAATTAAATTCTTGTTGCTCGGGTGTTAAACTAGCGCCTCGGAATGGTGTAATGAGGTGTTGACGCAAAGGATAACCAGAAACTCCATATAAAACAAATTGGGTCCCGCTCTCGGAACAAGGCAGCTCGGCCAAATGCTCTAACAAATTAGATTCTCTTAACATTCCACTGTCATGACGTCTTCCTTCTAATGGTCCAAATAAATTAGCAATCATACCGTCAGGTGTAACCACTGATTGAAATTTCAAACAATGTGTACGTTTACGGTCACTGAATACCACCCTTTGATGTTTTTTTGGTCGACAAATAGGATGTTCCGTTCCATGTATGAATCCCCAACAATTTGTCAAAGGAGCATCTTTTGCTGTTATTACTTGGCTAAATAATTTTAATTTTTCTCTTGTTAGTTTTATTTCGTCGATATTCGATAACAATTTGGAATGGCTATTATAAATGATATTTAGTATTTCATGTACAAATCGTGAAAGTTCACTTTTTGTTCTCCCCAACAAAACAGAAATATCATCAAGTCTATTAGGATAAACTAATCTTCGTAAAAAAATACACAATGCATCAATTCCAAGTGAGCGTGATCCATTTTTACAAATAATTACAGATGGAAGGCGTAAAGCAGAATGGAGGTGAAACAAATCATCTCTTGAAAATCTGTTAAAATTATAAAATTTTATAAGTATTATTTCATTTTTTTTTTTTTTCATTTCTTACTTTAATTTAATCACTTACCGAAAATACAACAAGCAATCAGAATCTGTCATTTCATTTAAATTCATTCTTGCTTTTGTCACAGGTATAGCTTTTGTCATATGGTATAATAAAATAGCTTCTTCATCACTTTCATACTCATCCAACAAGGCTAATATCTCATCAGTAGTCTACAAATAAAATTTTAATTAAACGCTCATTGCGCGAAAATAAATAAAAAGTGAACACTACCTTAGAAATTCTGTGGTCACTTCACATCACTTCAAAAAATATTGAATAATTAAATAATTTCTGAATTAAAATCATTTATTTTTTACAATATTATTCATGGATGCTTAAATAATTCTTATTTTAATAGAATATGTCATAATTTCAACCCTAAACACAGAAAAATGAAGAAGTTTAAGCCGAACTTCTACTCACCATGCTCGACATTCCAAACGCCATTGTTAAATTTCTAGACTTACAAGATGGCGACACTCGACGTTCGACTTTACGTTCTGGAGATGAAAACGTCGGCCACAACCTCTAGTGTAGAAAAGTGTATAAACTGACGAATGAACGGCTAAGCGCAACTGTGACGTTAAAATGTACGCTTTCTAGATAAAACATCGTTGTTGTGTAAAGCTTACGAGAGGAAGAGGAAGTAAGTACAGTATTTGGAGGAGAAGGAAGAGCCTGTAGAATAAGAAAAAAATATGACTAACAGAGAACCTTTTAATCATTGTACAAGGCGATATTATAGATCGAAATATCAAAGTTATCATAGAGATTCTGTAGGTGAAAACAAAGATGTTGGATATAAATTACTTGGATGGTATATAAAATCTTCTACTGGTATGTTGCATCATAGAAGACGTTATATAAGTGATAAAGAAGCATTGTATAGAAACGTTATAAATTCATTGGTAAGTTTTATATGTGTGTTTATGTATATTTAAAGAGGTGTGCTCGTTTTCTCAAGTTAATGTATTCAATTAATATAATACATTAACTTTGTTAATGTATTACATTACATTACTTTTAATTCTAATTAAAATTTTAACAGCACTTTCTAATGAAAGTGCTTTTAATTATAAGCTTTCTTTTGTCATTACTATTAATATTTCACATAATCCTCATATTAGATGTAATCTATTTTATTTATATATTTATTTCTTACTTTCTAATTCAATATTTCATATATTCAATATTCAATAGTCCAAGAATGAAGAAAATGAATTGTCATCAATAAGAGAAAGAATAGCTACCTTATTCAATAATCAGTTATATAGTGATGTAGTTTTAAACATTAATGAAAAGAAACTTTTTGGTCATAGTTTTGTTTTGTCTCTGGCAAGTCCTGTATTCAAAGCAACTTTTTACGATGAATTAAATTTTGCAAGGAAGGATTCGTTTGATGTTTTAGATGTTACAGAAAATGGGTTTATGAATTTGCTAAGGTATAGAAGTAATTTCTGTTTGTTTGAAATGTAATTTATATTTTTAGTTAAAAATTAAAGAATAAACAAAAAAATACATGAAAGAGATTGCAATTTTTTCATTAATGTTGTTTCCTAATATGAGCTAACTTTCGTTAGAACTATAAAGAAGTGATGGAAATGTATGAAAAGGTGTATTTTTTATATATAGTTTATAAAAATTCCAGTTTATGGTAGAAGATTTAATGAGTTAACATTACAAAAGTCAGAATTGGACAAAAAATCATTCTAAATTTTATTACAAATTCAATAAAATTTGTCTGTTAGACTTCTAATAATAAAATAGTTTATTTCAAGCAAAATTTCAGTAGGTACTCAATATAGTATATTACACTGAAAAAATTTTGCACATTCAGATAGAATTGTCCAATCACTGCAAAAGTCAGTACCTTGAACAGGACCACAGATGCATTATTGACAGTGGAATGCCTTAAGAAGCTTGATATTTGCATAAAAACAAAACTTATAATTACACTAACAATTAAACTAATGTGTAGAATGTTTTTATAAATGATACATAGCCAAAATGCTCCATGTATTTTTGTTTATTCATTAATTTTTAAGCATTGATATTTTATTTTTATTCAATATATAATAATTATTGTTTTATAATGATTTTTATTCAGCATTCACAAAAATTATAAGTTTAGTGGTATTTTTTATTAATTTCTGTAGTAATTTCTGCAAAACAGTTTTTTCCTACTTTGCTATTTTATTATTTTTATATATTGAAATTGATTTTGTTTTATTATTGTTAAAATTGAAGTTTACTGTAAAAGTTAAGTTAAAAAAAGTAGCAATGTCATTTAGTGTAAATAGTTGATAGGAAGTTTGGTTAAATAGCAATGATGTTGCTAGTTATTTGGACCCTTATTACTTGTTGATAATGGCAAAGATCAGTTATATCCTGTCTCTTTTTTTAGTAATTATTTTATTAATTAATAAAGTGTACTTAATTGTTCATAACACTTTTGTCTAAACAATATAGATTTCACATCCAAAAAACCTTTGTAACTCCAGTGATACGTGTTTACACACCAGCGAACGTTTTCGACCCCATCCGGGTCTTCATCAGGCTACGGTTATGTGGAATTCAAATGCATGCAGAATGGAACAATAAAACTACACGAATGCAATTCAAAATTTAGAAAAAAACAAATTTAAGAATAAAATGGAACTGTGAGGACCACCACCGCCCTCCAAATATATATATATTGTAAACTTATTTGTAATAATTTTTGTTTATTTACTTTATATCTTTTTTTTTATTATGTATTCACATGAACCTTAACTGTATCTTGGATAACAACCGAAGTTGTAAGAGGAAATTCGCCTATTGTACCAATCTATGGACCCCCCTTTTTAATATCAAGTAATTAGAATAAAACGGTTTATCATTCAAAATCTCACAACATGCCAAAGGAAAGAGGAAAAAGGAACCAAATAATCAAAAATTATATAGAAATGAAGAACATTGCATCCCCCTTTGTTCTCGGCAATGTTTACATGAAGAACTTAGTCAAAGCAAGCAATGAACAAACAATGACTAAGAACAAAGATAAGTCACGTCAACTCAGAAGATGACTCTAAGAAGGCTGCAAGTCATCACCAAATGAGAAAACACTGTCTCAGCTACAATGATGACACTGCCAATGAGTCATCACCCGATGATGACTTTCTCATGCTGAAAGGGTTTAAAAGGAAAGACCCAACAAGAGAAAAGAGAGTGCTGTTAGGAGTTCAGTTTGAGATGGGGACACAGTGAGTTAGAGGCAGTCAAAAAGGAGAGACAGCTCCAGTCAGAAAAAGGCAGTCAGAGTGAGGACACAGTCCCATTAGAAAGACAGTTAGAAGGAGACAGCGAAATAATCAGCAGTTATGGACACAGCTCCAACCAGTGGTTCAAGAGAAGACAACTCCAAAAACGAGCAAGCACGAGACGAAGTGCAGTGAACACCAGGAACCTCTGCAGTCTTGGCCGTCAAGTCAACGTCACAAGAGAAGACATCTTGTTTATCTGGTATGTTGTGAGTCGCGTAAGTTCGAAATACCCCCCTGTTAGGTACCCCCTTCGTTGAATAGATAAGAATAGGCAAATTTCCAAAATCGGTTTTTATAACTCTGTTCCAAACTTTTCTTTATGTTAATAAATGTCCTTAAATTGGTTATATCTGACTCTGCATTCTTCCTCCTGAGAGGCTCATTCCTGGACTTCAGAGTGACTCTTACCCTCGCGCCTTAATCATCCATTTTATCCCAAACGGTGGTGTGTCCGATAAAACACACCTGGTGGCAGGACTCTACCTAAAAAGCATTTAATAAACCTTTTACGGCCCCCGACCCCCACAGAACACTACCCAAGTGCTGAAACGATGGTTAAGCACGTGCAAAATTACATTTGCAAAACGGTGAAAACAGAAGAAATATATGCACTACCAGCCCAGTTACGGGGGCGAGGTTCCCTCATAACAAAACTTCCATGCGCTAGATATCCTGACTGCATCCCTGGAGTTGATGCACGTGCTACGTAATCCTGCTTTTTATATTTCCAGAGTCTCCATGGCTCTCAGTTGATCAGTACGATGTGAGAGCTGAACAACTGAGAGCCATGGAGACTCTGGAAATATACAAAGCAGGATTACGTAGCACGTGCATCAACTCCAGGGATGCAGTCAGGATATCTAGCGCGTGGAAGTTTTGTTATGAGGGAACCTCACCCCCGTAACTGGGTTGGTAGTGCGTATATTTTGTCTGTTTTCACCGTTTCGCAAACATGATTTTGCGCATGCTTAACCATCGTTTCAGCACGTGGGTAGTGTTCCATTTTATTCTGAAATTTGGTATTTTCTAAATTTTGAATTGCATTCGTATAGTTTTATTGTTCCATTCCGCACGCGTTTGAATTCCACATAACCGTAGCCTGATGAAGATCCGGATGGGGTCGAAAACGTTTGCTGGTGTGTAAACATGTATCACTGGAGTTACAAAGGTTTTTTGGATGTGGTGAATTGTATTTCCTCTGGTGTTTACGAAGAGGTTCATTTCTTATAAACAATATAGATTAATTGCATATGTCTTTTGCTTACAGCCCTTATATGGTAGTTACTTCTAGATCAAACTGTGTAATTAATTATTAGCTTAATTGCCCTGTTTCAGCTCCATCCATTTGGTGGCTGCTGTAAGTAAAACAGTTTGGTGCTTTTGTGGGGCATGCATTGTTCAGAACAGGGGTCTTCAACGTATGGCCCATTGGCCAGATAAGCCCCAAAGCATATATTTCCTGCCTGCATTTTGTTTTCAGACAAATTTTATCTATCAACATTTGAACTTTTTCAAAACATATAAACTTCTAAAAATTCAACTAGAATTAATAGATATTTATTCTTAAGCCTTTGTGTCCTTATTAAACAATTTTATTATTTAAATGTCTACTAGGACAGATTGTATTACTAGGACTTATTATACTGGTGTCCAAGTCCTGCAAAATGAGGAAACATATCCCAGAGAAAAAAGGAAAAATCTTTATTTACCTGTATACAATTTACACACTTTGTGTTTCAGTCCCTCATCAGCAGGATTACCACCACCATGTGATAAAAACAAGATTTAAAAAAGGGTTACAATAATGCTATAATAATTCACCATACAATAATACTGTTAAAATGACTTACATTATTTTGGTCTCTAATAACATTGAAATGTAAAAAAATAACAGCATAAAAATCTGTATTATGTCTCTGATCTTTTTTACATAAATCAACAATTTTAAAGGATTCATATTTAAAAAGGAAGGTTGCGAAAACATTTTCTTAAAACCAACATATTCATCACTTCCTTTTCCCTGGACCATTATCGTATTTCTAACAAATAGTTTATACAACAATAGCCGAAACTTCTGCTAGAAACTGGTGACAAGCTTCTGCCCACCATCTAGTGGTTCGAGAAGATAACTACACTTCACTCTATTTATACTGTGTGTATAAGGAGACGTTTTTGGGTATTAACATATAAAGTTTTGAACTTATTATATCTCACAATAATTAGAATGGCCGGAAGAGGTGTTATTTGTGCTATGTTTGGCTGTTTTAATTACAAGATACAAAGTGATCGCAAGTCGTTTTACATATTCCCTAAAAACAAACAAGTGTAAGTAAGTTAATAAGCAATTTGATTGTTTTCGTTTATATCAACATTCCTCCTTTAAAATATTGTTATCATTCAACATATGTGTTTATATTAATTTTTAGATGCATTCAGTGGATTATTAAGAGTGGAAAGACCAATTTAGACGAGATTTTGAAAACAAAAGGGCCAGAATATTTAAATAGAAATTATGTCGTGTGTTTTGACTATTTTACAGAAAAAGACTTTAGAAAGAAAAATCTCTTAAGCCAAGGGTATGTAAAATTGTTTATTATTTGTTCACTTAATATAATTTAATGGTATTCTTTACCTATTTTTTTGTTCCTCTCACCAAATTAGAAGTTTACGATCTAATTTTGAACTTATCGCTAATTGTCCACACACAGATTTTATTTAGTTTCCTATCAATGCACTTGACTAAAACTTGTTTTATATATGTTACAGGATCGGGCCTGGTGCAGTATCCTCACTATTCATTTATAATGCCAAACAGACCATGATGAGAAGCATCCCAAAAAAAAGAAAACTAGAACCTTCAAATATAGAAATGTCACTTGATGTAGAAACAGTAGCAACAGCTGCCCAGGAAAATAGCAACAAACCATCTTCAACAAAAAACATTAGAAATCTAGCAAAAAAATTTATAAATTCACAAAAGCAATTGTCAAAATACAAATTATTGACAAGAAACCTGAAAACAAAGTTATGGAAGCTGCAAAAAGAATGATCAAAGTGCAGTTGTGAAAAAAATGAATTGCTTACTAAATAAAATTATAATTTATGTTTTAAGATAATAAAATAAAGACAAAAAGATGATAAAATATTTACTTTGTTGCATTTTTGCAACTTTTGTTAAACTTTACATAGTCTGAGGTTTTAGTGTTCTACTCGAGCTGCTAGATGTCACTAGTTTGTGTTGTCGCCACTTCAGTACATGCTAATTCATGAGAGTTTCCACTATTGTCATATAAACTATTTGTTTCTAAGTAGTTTCCTCTATAAATGTATCAACCCGCCACCCCTGTTTATAATACTGTCCAACGATTGGTGGATTTCTCTTCCCAAGTTGTTATTAATTCTATTGCTTTGTCTTTTAATGTACATATTTTCATATAATTGCCTTTTATAATTATTGCTTTCTTTTCTCTTTATTTTGACTGTATTTAAATCTATTTTGCATCCATTTGTATTGCAGTGTTCAGCTACTGCTGAATTTGCATAATTACCTTTAATAGCACAAATGTGTTCTTTTGTACGTATTTTCAATTTTCTTTTTGTTTCTTCTATATATGTTTTTCTTTGTCTACAATCAAATGAGTATACTACATCTTTTTCTTCTGTTATTTCCTGTTCCAAAGCAATAATTATAAAAGGCAACTACATGAACATATGTACCGTACATTAAAAGACAAAGCAATAGAATTAAAAACAACTTGGGAAGAGAAATCCACCAATCCTGGGACAGTATTATTGACAGGAGTGGCAGGTCGACATGTTTATAGAAGAAACATACTTAGAAATACGATAATGGTCCAGGCAAAGGGAAGTGATGGGTATGTTGGTTTTAAGAAAATGTTTTCACAACCCCCTTTCTTAAATATGAAGCATTTAAAATTATTTTGTTATATATACAGGATCAGAGACATAATACAGATTTTTATGCTGTTATTTTTTTATATTTCAATGTTATTAGAGACCAAAATAATGTAAGTCATTTTAACAGTATTATTGTATGGTAAATTATTATAGCATTATTGTAACCCTTTTTTAAATCTTGTTTTTATCACATGGTGGTGGTAAACCTGCTGATGAGGGACTGAAACACAAATTGTGTAAATTGTGTACAGGTAAATCAGGCCAACAATAAAGATTTTTCCTTTTTTCTCTGGGATATGTTTCCTCATTTTGCAGGACTTGGACACCAGTATAATAAGTCCTAGTAATACAATCTGTCCTAGTAGACATTTAAATAATAAAACAGAATTAATAGACTTTGCTGCAAAAGATTTTTATTTAAAGAACATTTCTTAAATCTTTTACAAATCTCTGCTGAAGGAATTTTAGAAGTCTTAAGTTTGTATGGGGGATATGTTCTATTTTTGCCTCTAAATTTCTTATCTTTTTGCTTCCATTTTCAAAAATAATTTATATAAAATCAAAATATCAAGTATTAGTATCCAACAAATATCAGAAAGGAGATTTTACTATTGGGTATCACAAAACTTATCTTCAGTTTTGATGACTATCTTTCAAAAAAGCAGTTCCAAAAGTTGTTCAAGCAATGCTATAAGGCATTCAAGCATTTAAGGAGGAGTAAAAAGTCACAAATAAATGAACAGTTCAGCTACATAAGAACATTGACAAGAAAGGAAATCTCATAGCAAGTTTCTTCAAGAAAAAGTAAAGAAAATGCAAACAAATATGTTCTTTTTTGATGTGAGTTTGTTACTCAATCTCAACTTGTTTGATTTACCTTCAATATGCATTCAGTTGGTTATTAGTTTGAGTATTACTTTGTTTAGTTCACTCTTATTTTCACTTACATGCTTCAAGTTTTGTATACTGTCTTGTAAAATTACGTACAAATAATAACCAGTGGAAAGGTTTAAGGAATGAGGAGAATGCATTCTTATTTTATTTTTGTAAAATAAAATAATAAAATAACTAAGATCAAATCTTAGTTGTTTCATGCACATTACCACCTAATAAAGAAATAGCCAGCTTAGGCCAAATTGATTGAAACAGAACATTAGGCACACTCATTGCACCAACAGCTGTGTAACAGTTGAACAGTTGGTGGAACAATGTTTCTGTCTTGCTAAATCATGTAATCTGAAAAATTTGTCGACCATATGACATTAAAAATGATTATCAAAGTTATCATTATCCATAGTAAGGATAGATATGATAATACAATAATAATAATAATAATGAATATTTAACTGCTGTATAGCTATTGAGTGCATTTGATGTAACCATTCTTTTTTTTTTTTTTAACTGTTTTCAACCTCACCTGTCACTTGCGGATCTGATACTGTTTCTAAAGAAGTATTATGATGTATACTAACTTTTTCTTTAGTAAAATATTGTTCTTAGTAGTTATTTTATTTACTGTACTTTCACTTTACTAAACATAATATAATCCATCCATCTTGACATGTAATTTACTAGTATAATTACAATAATAAACACTAATATGATAATTTTCTTCTTTGAGTAATTGTTTTTTTCAAAAATTGTTTCCACTTTAATTAATTTTTAATAGTTACTAATGATATGACTTTAGCATGTTAGACTGTGGCCATTAAAGCATTTTTTTCAGAGGTGATTAGGTAATGGCATTAAAGTATTCATTCAGAGTTTAACAAAACATTTACAATATTTCTGAAATATTCCTTGACAGAATTTACTTTAAATTCCTAATAATGAGTCTTAAATACAAACAAAATTTATAGAAAATTCTGTAAATGTTCATTAAACTCTGCATAAATTATTATTATATTACAAGGAGTAAGATAAATTTTTTTACATAGTTTGAGAGTTTAGATTACATTTTTTTCAAGCATTAATATTTATTTTCCAGGTTTATCTACATGAACAATACACCAGAATCTGATAATTTATCAGAATGTTTGGAAACCCTTTATGCAGCTAGAGTTTTCCTTGTATCATCTCTTGTTAACATTTGCATTCAAAAGTGTCTGCAAGTCATAAATAGTGAGAATCTTTGTCAAATTTTAGACACAGCCTACTGTTTGGATTTATATATTTTAACAGATAATTGTTTGCAACTTTATGCTATGCAACCAGAAAGAGTGTTAACATCAGAGTCTTTTTTATCTGCCAAAACAGATACTGTATTACTTCTGTTTAGTATGGCAATTGAAAATGGAACAAAAAAAGAATTTAATTTTCATCTCATGAAATGGGCTATAAATGAAGCAAAGAGAAGGGGACTGTCTACATTTCAAGTGGCAACAGTTTTGAAGCCATTCTTTGAAATTAATTCATCTGATTCATAAAAAAATTTTAAAAAGTATTATATAAAAATCCTTTTTATATATTAAGAATTAAAATACAAATTTGTATAAAATACAGTGGATGATCGGTTAATGAACAGTTCAGACTACAAACAAATTGGACAACAAACACTTTCACCAAACATTTTTATGTTTGGACAATGCACATCTCACAGAATAAACACAAGAAGAAGCAATGTAAAATAATGAATACCAATCGGTCTTCCTTTGTCTTCAGGCAACAATTCAGAACTTTTCAGAGCATGGGAGACATCGACATCGGCACTCAACCCAGTATATACTGATCAGATAGTATTCCTCCAAACTTTGAAACTCTCCCTTGTAATTCCAGCCTTTTATTTTTCTGACAGAAATAATTATTTTATAGTATTCACGATACTGTCTTGCACACACTTGTTAAGTTTTGCATCAGTTTTTATTTTCGAAAGGTTAGAGCAGGGGTTGCAAAACTTTTTTGATTATCGACCCCATACAACTTTTCGAAACCTCACATTGACCCCCACCAAAAAGTTTGTGTTACAGCAAAAAAAAGTTCTTACTATTTTAATATATATCTTTTGATTTTACTTTTTTTACATTTATTGTACATATGTTAATAGTAATTTTTGTAACTGATAATCAGTGAGACGGATAAGCTTGATAATCCTTAGCAAGATTAGCAATATTTGGTTCAAAATTTGTAAGTTTTAGTCTTTTCATTGACCCCCTGGGGGTCGATATACACCACTTTTGTGACCCCTGGGTTAGAGTAGAGAGTGGCAGAAGATGTCTGATGTTGCTGGGCAGTATGGCTTGAACAGGTCTACAGTAGACCGTAGTTCAATCTTTTCTAAGAAAGATAAAATATAATCAAGAAGACTCAAGCAGCTAAAGGAGTAACAAACATCACATCTGAGAAATAAAGAACATTGAAGGAACCTCAATGGAACCTGAAATTCCTTCATTGAAGGAGCTCATAATGGAACCTGAAACTGATATGATGACAGAAGAATGCCAAGAACTCTTGAATGAAAAACACTAAGAAACTCATCAAGATATGATTTTTTTTTTAAAAAAAAGATTAATGCCAGCGTCTAAATATCTTTTGAAGAAGTGGGAAGACTGTTGTTCTAAGACTGTTGTTCTAAGACTGTTGTTCTGACATCAACAGTCTTAGAATAGCATCCAAACCTGGTTGAGGTTAATAGGCTTAGGGATCTCCACAGTGACAATGCTATTAATTACTTCCGAAAAATCCTGAAAAGAGAAAAGCAATCGACATTGGACAGATTCTTTAACACCCCACAAACAGAAAAAACATTACTGATAAAATTGCAAGACTTTGTATATATGTATTTTTACAAAACTCACTATTCACCTGATGAAGAGCCCAGAAGGGGTTCGAAAACGTTTGTTTTTTTATGATTAGTCGATCGTTCCACACCGTAAATTGGTTCAGTGTTTGTGTTTGATATGTATTTTTATTAATATACAGTAGAGCATCGATTATCCGAATCAATTGGAGACTGGGGTTGTTTGGAAAATCTATTTCTCGGATAACCGATTATGTATAAAAAATATATTAACCTATCCCATGATGAAATTCATTCAAATCCTGTTACATCCTTAAGTACCTTATCATGGTCGCGCCAGTGCTGCCAGCTAAAACATGCACACCAACAAAAATAATATTGGAGTAGCCCAAGACGTAACCAAAGATTGCAGTGCCACAGCACTAGTGGAAATTTAAATTTGCCAACTGGAAAACTTTTGGTTAATTGATATTTTGGTTGATCGACATTTGGATAATCAATGCTCTACTGTATTTTCTTTCAACTGAATAAAAATAGTCAATAAGAAAAACACACCTTTACAAATCCAGCAAATAACTTTACTAATAAAAACATTTTTGAATGGTTTTACTGATCTTTCTCGGTTACGATGAAATAATCTTAACTGAGGAAGATCAGTAAAATCATTTGAAAACATTTTTATTAGTAAAGTTATTTGCTGGATTTGTAAAGGTGTGTATTTTTATTATTACATGTAAATAAACATAATAAGAAAGTATATAATTTTTTATTTTGGGGGGTCTCCAGATCAGATTAATCAAATTCCCATAAAAATCTATGGTAAATTGATAATCCGTTAACAAACAATTCAGATAGTGAACACAGTCTTGGAACTGATTATGTTCATTAACCGAGATCATCCACTGTATTCTATTTTATATAACAGGTCTGTACGAGACATAATATATAACATGTATAAATAGTAAATTTTATAGATACTTCTCTGTTAACAGAATGCCAGCCAATATAGTAAGATTCGTGCTCTGAATGAGGGTTTTCGAACCACCTCCAGAATTGTTGACCCTTTGCAAAATATTTGCCTCCAAAGATCAATTTTTAACATGTATCAGTATACTGTTTATTCTACATGCTTTGCATGTAGTCGTGTACTTCAGTGCTCACTGTTGCTTGTACCTCAGTGCTATGTGGGGAGCTTGCCCCCTCTCCCCTAAAACTATATAATATCAAGCACCCCACGAACAGTCAAGTGGGCTACTTGAAGCTGGCACAGTCATGTTGGCTAAATAGTTAAACATGATAGTCTTATTGGAGTGATGTGGATGATGGTATTGCACATTGAATTAGTTACAACTGGCATCCTGTTAACAGAAAAGAACCATTTTATATGCACTTATTTTATTATTACAATGCTACCAATATAAATGCAGGGTTTTCCAACAATAATGCTACTGTTTGAAATTATTGTAATTATGTTAGTTATTATCTGAGAATGTTGGACAGTTTTCCAATGTTTTAATGTAAATTACAATTGTTCACATATATCAATTACTGTTCCTCAATTTGTGCACCTTGTATTACACAGCACACACTCAACTGATACTCAATTTCTTCCTATACCATGTACTTGCTACAGCATATCCATTGTCACTCCTCCCATAGCAGTCACAATTCTACAGCTACTGCAGATTACTCATGTTGAACAATGATGAGTTATTCTGAACTTACAAACCTCATAACACAAAACATTTTCTCTATTGAAGAGTCATCATTTTCATTTAGTACTTCATATAGGTAGTAGACAACAAGACATTTGAATGCAGATGAAAGATGAAGATCAGTCAATTGGTGTATATTGCTTTCTTCTCAGATAATAAATAGCATAATTATAGTCGTTTAAAATGGTAATTAGTGTTTTTCAAAATGAATGTTATGTAAACATTATAAAAAAGAATATATGATTATATTATCTGTTAAGTATATATGAAGTCTGTTCAAAAAATAACTGAACTTTATTTTTTTAATTTTTATTCTTCAAAGTTACAGATTATTGGCCCTTGTACTCCCCTCTCCTATTCACACTCTTATCCCAGCAGTGTTTCCATTTTGCAAAGCAATTATGGTAAGCTTCTTTTGGAATGTCTTTCAATGCTTGTGATGAATTTGTTTTAATGTCATCAATTGTGTCAAAGCGGCATCCTTTCGCCACTAATTTTAATTTTGGAAACAAAAAACTTGCAAGGAGTCAGATCTGGTGAGTAGGGAGGCTGAAGACAACAGTCATTTGATTTTTGGCACAAAACTGGTGAATTGACAAGGCTGAGTAGCATGCATGTTATCTTGATGAAGGAACCATCAGTTGTCTCTTTACAACTCTGGTCTCTGTGAATTTTTTCACACAACTGTTTCAAAACACCTCGCACAATACTGACGGTTAACTGTTTGACGTTGAGGCAAAAATTCAAAATGCACAACTCCATTGAAATAAAAAAAAAACAGTGTTCATCATGATGTTGGATCAAGACTGTCATGCTTTTTTTCAGGTGTGATGATCCCATGACAACTCACTGTTGATGATTGAACTTTTGTCTCAGTGTCATTAGCTGTAAACCCAACTCTCATCACCCATTATGATCCTTTGCATAAATGTTTTGTCATTGTTGGCTTGTTGAAGGAGTTCTAGGCAAATGTCTATTTGATTTTCCTTCTGCAGTTCAGTCATCAAACAAGGAACAAATTTTGCTGCAACTCCATGCATGTTCAATTTTTCCATTAAAATGTCATGGCATGACACTGCTGAGTTCCCAACCTCTTCTGCAAGTTCTCTGACAGTCAGACAATTATTTGCATGCATCAGATCTTTGATTTTCGGAATGTGAGTGTCATCAGTTGAAGTCAAAGGCCTTCTTGGTCGAGGGTCATCTTCAACTGATCGATGACCGCTTTTGACTCTGTAAACCATTCACAACACTGCGTACAACTTAGAGCATCACCTCCGTAAACTTGTTTCAAAAGTTGAAATATTTCCAGTTTCATGCAAAACTTCATGTTGCATCATTGCTCCTGTAAATTGCACATTGCAAAAATCACCATGAACACTGAAACACCTTTCACTCAAAAAACAATAATGAGGAACAAAATGAGATATCAACAATCTGAAAAAAAGCAGCTTACTAGGTAGGTTGACCACATAATCTATTAATATGAAGTACTGTTTTTTCCCTACTCATTTTTTGGGCTACTGATGTGCAATCATGCAAACTTGTGATAAAATATGGAAAATTTCCATTTGGTTTGTGAGATTTTAATTTTCTTTGTTTGTAAAACAAATACAAGACCGAAAGAAAATCTGAAAGAAATGATCTTAAATACTGTGTATGTTAGTTATTATCAGATTAATATACTGTATATTTAGAGATTAAAATTATTTTTGGCAATTAAACTTTAGTTTCAGATTTATTGAAAACATTTCTACATACATATGTATTTCTAAATCAATCTATTATGCAATTTGAAAAAATTGTAGACCTATGAATTTTCACTGTCGTCCATCTGTGTTTGTCTTTCCTTAACCTCAAGAATGGAGTTAGGTAGATGAAAGATATGACCAGATATGGAAACCTTAGAGGCAAGAGGCCCCAATTAACTACAGTAGTACCTCAGGATACGAATGCTTCAGCATACGAAATTTTCAGGATATGACATGAAATTCAGACATATTTTTGCTCCACTGTATAAACAAAAACATATGATGTTACATTAGTTCCCAGCGTCATGATCATGTGTTCTTTCTGTTTATTGGTCTCAGTCTGCATGTTTGCTTCATTGTGGAAGGATCTCACTCAATAAAGGAAATCTTGAGGTATTATCAGAAAGTGACTGATTTTATTGAAAAGAAACATCCCAAAAAGGTTCACACTGGCCATATTGTTGCTCAGTTTAATGACATTTACCTAAGTCATTTTAGAAACATTTTAAAAAGTAGGCAAAGCCTCTTTGAATAGATATTTTACCAAGTGACCTCTATCCAGTAAAAGTGCTGGTGGAAGTGAAGGAAAGAAAGCAAAAACCAGTGAATAAAAAATTTAAAAAATGTACAGTACATCTATATATATAAAAATGAATGTATGTCTGTGTGTCTGTCTTATGTCCTTCATGCATTACCACACCGTTTATCCGATTGCCATGAAACTTTGGAAAGTTGTTTAATATACTCTCGCGCAGGTTTGTGGCATAGTACGATTGGCATAAAACTTAGGAAAGTTTTTTAATACACTCCCGCGAAGGTTTCTGGCATAGTACATTTAACCCACGATAGATGGCGCGCGTTTATACGAGTGTATCGAGTCAGTGTGTTCGATCGATTTCAAATTGTGAAGACCATTTCCCCCTATTTCAAATAATATCTCTATATATGCATTTGTGAACTGTTATTTACGATATTTGTAATAATTTTTGTTTAATCACTTTATTTTAACTTTTTTTGCTAATTATGTATTCGCTCGAACTTTGTTAAAACCTTAACTGTATCCCGAACAACAACCGAAGTCGTAGGAGGAAATTCGCCTATTTTACCGATCTAGGAATCCCCCTTTTCCAAATTTTAATATCGACTCAAAATAATTTAAAAAGACAAATTACAATAAAACGGTTTATTATCCAACTATCAGAAATTTCACAACATGCCAAGGAAGAGAGGAAGGAGCAATTAAATAATTAAAATTATAAAGGATTTAAAAATATATATATATAAATGGGGAATATCGCACTTGGGCTAAATTTGGAGAATCCGTGCTTCTCGCATGGACAACTGTATGTGGCCGGCTCACGCGTCGAAAAACCTTCCGATTTATTCGTGTACGCACCAGACGGAGAAACAAAAAATAACGTGTATCCACGAGCACTCCAATAAATAAATAGAATTGAAACGACACTTTTAAATGTTTTCCCGATGAAAATGAATAATAATAATGTTTCAATAAAAATAATAAAATGTAAATTGAATTTTATCATAACGAGTTTGCTTGAATTTCCTTTCTTCTGAGATCGCAGCAATGCGCGACGGATAAGCTAGTATATATATAAAACAGAAAAGGTTAAAAAAAATTAGTTTTAAATTATTTTTAAGTTATTGTTACATTATGTTATGTAAGTTAAGCTTTAGTATCATTTCCCTTCTCCCTCTCCTCCATTGTCTATCGTCAAAAATAAAGTGCAAATAAAACTACAATTTTTTATCAATTATTATTCTATTATGGTTATTTATACATTTACAACTACAAAATGCATTTTTCAGTGTTTTCTTTACTAAAGTTAATTTTTTTTTCAATGTACTACTTAGCTTTAATTTGAGTGTATTTTTCGTCTTGGAACGCATTATTTGGTTTTTCATGTAATCATATGGGGGAAAATGATTCACCTTACGACTTTTTCATGATACGATCTCAGTTTAGGAACAGATTAATTTTGTATCCTGAGGTACTACTGTATACATGAACTTCCAATGCAAACCAGAAGTCATGTTATTTCAATTCAAAACTTTTCCCTGAAAGGTGTTAGATAGATGACCGGCATGACTTTATTGTTAAAGGAAAAATATGATTGTACAGGGGCAAGCCACTACTAATTTGAGGTGGAGAGAATATATATTAAATTTTAAAAAATTAAAAATATGATTAAAAATTGCAGCCTGGCATTGTGATGATGTCACAATAAATAATTGCTTGTTTCTGTATTATTTTTTTTCTTGCTTTTATCAGATTACCATATAAAGTAATGAAATGAGCAAGTTTTTATTTTAAATATGTGCTTTCACTAGTAAAAATCAGAACTAATTGTCCCATTACATCATTTCCTTTTATTTACAATAGTAAAACTTTGGTTTTTATTATTGTTTTATAAAGGATTGCCTTATAACTTCTACTTCTGTTCAGCTTTATATATTCTAATAGTTGAACATTTAGATTTATATATTCATCTATTCTTAGACATTTTAATAATTATTATGATAATTTGAATATAATTAAATTATTTTCCCAAAATATTTAACTATAGTAATACCTTGGTTTTTTCGTTAAACTTTATCTTAGTTTTTGTTGGCATGTCCACATGACCTCCTGCTAATTTTGTGAAAACAGGGCATTCCACATGTTTTCCTGCTCAGTGTGGTGGTGTTTCTCATTGTGTGAAAATTACCCTGTGCGTCTAGCCAAACAATTCCATTGCTTTCCTTTCCTTTTAGCTCCATCGTGGGTCAAAAGAAAGTTTCCAGAGCCAGCAGCCCTGTGAATGCCATGTTAAATACTTTGTTAAATGTTTATTTATTCCTTAAATTAGTTTTTATATTTGTTTTATATTATTTTCTTATTGTTTTTAGTATTAAATACAATATTCTCTATAAAATGTGTTTTGGTATGTATTTTGGAGTGTCTAGAATGAATTTCTTGGATTTACATTAATTTATATGGAAATAATTGCCTCGGTTTTTGTCGGTTTCAGATTTCTCTGATTGTTTTCACACAGATTATCGACAAAAACTGAGATAGCACTGTACTTAATAATTTACAAGTAAAGAGTATTTATAATTTTCATTTTGTCTATTGAATAGTTAGGATGATGCTAATCAGTTTTGACTTATTGACAATCAACACTTCAAAGATATCTGTGGGATCTTTATACATGAGTAAGTTCATAATGTCCAAAAGGAAGACACATCAAGACTAGATCCCCTTTAAATCTTAACCAATGTTTATATTTCTTTGTAATTTGCAATTTAGAGATTTCAAGTAACTAGACAAAAAATTATAATGTTAAATATTACTAATATATCACATCATTAAATTCTATAGCCACTTTCTAACCAAGACTACTATAATAATGAAATGGAGACACTATCATCAAAGAACCATGTAAATGGTTCAATATATATATATATAAACAGTATATATAAGTATTAACACCTTAAAACTAGAGAATCTCTTACCAGGGACATATCCAGGAAAGTGCATCTGGTGCTGCAGCATCTTTTGATACCAAAGCAGTCAGTTTTGTTAAAATAAATATAATAATACCTATCAAATAACTTCAGTGGCCAGTATGTGAATGGCCTTATCTGTTGAGACGCGCGTGGGTCGAGTGCGTGGGCGGGGTTCCACCCCCGGGCGCCATAATAGAATCTCGCTCCATCCTAAAACTTGCCTCGGGCCGGCACTGCTCTGCACCCTTGAAAACCACTTAAACCAAATTTTGTGCTCGCCAGTAACCTCATATTATGTAACTTTCCTATTTGAATGCCGTCATACTGGTGGCATTCAAAAATAGGCATTCTTCCTACAGGCAACCAATAGGCATTCTTCCTATCGGACCACCATACTGGTGATCCGATAGGAAGAATGCCTTTTGGTTGAAGAAGGGAATGTTACGGAAGGGGATTGAAGTAATTTCACCAAAAGTAGTCATTGAGCACCTCCCAGAAGAAATGATGGTCAACGACTACTAATTAATACTGGTCTATTATTNGTGCATCTGGTGCTGCAGCATCTTTTGATACCAAAGCAGTCAGTTTTGTTAAAATAAATATAATAATACCTATCAAATAACTTCAGTGGCCAGTATGTGAATGGCCTTATCTGTTGAGACGCGCGTGGGTCGAGTGCGTGGGCGGGGTTCCACCCCCGGGCGCCATAATAGAATCTCGCTCCATCCTAAAACTTGCCTCGGGCCGGCACTGCTCTGCACCCTTGAAAACCACTTAAACCAAATTTTGTGCTCGCCAGTAACCTCATATTATGTAACTTTCCTATTTGAATGCCGTCATACTGGTGGCATTCAAAAATAGGCATTCTTCCTACAGGCAACCAATAGGCATTCTTCCTATCGGACCACCATACTGGTGATCCGATAGGAAGAATGCCTTTTGGTTGAAGAAGGGAATGTTACGGAAGGGGATTGAAGTAATTTCACCAAAAGTGAAATTACTTGAGTGAAATTAATTGAGCACCTCCCAGAAGAAAGGATGGTCAACGACTACTAATTAATACTGATCTATTATTAATATTTGAAAAGTGATCCATGTTGGACAGATTGTGATTGCTCCGCATATGATTAAAGTTGCTAACCTTAATGTCCGAAAGGCTTCATATAAAATCCATTTAAATAAAAAAATCTTGTAAAAATGTGAGAATAATTGCTTTTATGTAATTCCATAAAAAAAGAAATAAATGTCAAACCAGGTTGAAACAGTAAAGGTCAGCAAAAATATCTAAGTAAAGGAAACTTGTGGCATAAGAATACTGGAGGCAGATTTGACAGTAAGATTCATCATGTGTATAAAGTACACACATTACACAAGCTACAAATACAGGAAATTTTGAACGAAGTAATGTCACCATGATATTAAATAGAAGAAAAACATTGGCACAGAAAAAAGACTTCCAGCTCTACTTTGTGCCTTAAATCGTTGCACATACTGTACATTAACTTTGGCTGAACATTAGAATATCTTTCGGCAGTATCAATAGTGTGGGGGCCGAGGGAGGGAGAAATTAAAAAACCTCGACTGACGATAATATGTAATATATATCGTCGTCGTCTCCCTTGCCGTTTGGATTGCCGAGCGGATAACAATCAACGACATGTGGAAGCAGTTGAGTCAGAGATAGATGCTTCGTTTACAAACAACACAACCGTTTATTAAACATGAAAGAAGCTTACAAGGTTTCCGCGATCTTGGAAGTTCTGCGGCTGCTGCGGCCTCTGGGTCTTCCTCTCCTTTCCAAGATAGTCCCATTTTGAAGGAGTGTCGCTTGTTCGCGAATGAACCATTCCATCACGTCTCGACGACTCCGGGACGATGCGGTCGACTTCCGTTGATGGAAAGATGTCGATCCGAGGTCGGAAGATGGAGACGAAGATGGGTGCGAGACATACACACAACAACAGGTCCCTCACTTGGAACTTTCGGGAGAAGAAGCCGTCGCGTCCTCGAATTTCCGGGGTTTTATCTGTTTTCTCTCAGATTCCCCTTTCCGATTGGTCTCTCCTCGTCACCTGATGATAATTCGAAACCTTTCGGGGGCGCGGGAGAG